TCTCCAATCAAGCGTGACGATGACGTTGGCGCGTTATAACGCCACGTCAAGATTAGGCTATTCCTCCTGCCATCTGTGTTATCGCCACTTTTGACCATTGAAACCACTATTAATACAGTAGGCAATCATAATCGTTACATTCACCCAAAAACTAAAAGAAACTCATCGCGCGATTTTTTTTTTTTTTTTTATTTATTTATTTTTTTTTTTTTTTTTGAGCTCGACAACTTTACATCAGTTTTCCTCTCACTCGCGCGCGTGTGCGCATTATGCCTAATTTTTCAGCATGTGAACCCACGGCCCAATGTAGCCAGACTTTCTCGCAAACATTCACATTAATCCATTCGACTGCTGTCCGTACAATCCATCTTTTTTCTCCAGTCGAACATCTGTTGGACTAACCGGACGGTAGGATTTAAAGGCGTCGGAATGCCTAAGCTACTCTCGACCAACGAAGCGCTGCCTTGTCGAAAGGGTTGAATAATATTCCTATGAGAAAGATAAATGCTCTTACGAACTCCATGCAGAGGAGAATTAAGGATGTGACAGATGCGCGAGGGAGGCATAGGAGATAATGAGAATTTTCTATTTTCACTTGGGGGGTGGGGGGTGGGGGAGGGGTTACGGTCAATTTAATTTCAGTAACTCATGAATTATCTGTCAAAATCAAATGAGATTTTTCTTACTTGTTAATAAAACATAACTTTAAATGTTAGACAACAATACTGGAAAATACGTTCGAAAATATAACATTAAATCACTTCAAAAGTTTACCCTGCGTTTCTTTTTCCTTTCAATAGTTTATTCTGTAGACAGAGAATATGATGTTGAGTAAATGTGTAAAAATCATTGATGAGCGATTTTAATTTTATGGCATCAGTTCAAGAAATTTTTGATATCCTCTCGTTCATAACTTTTTGTATATTCCCATGTGAAACCATGATCCACCTATTGTGACCCAAATCTCTGATATGAACAACTTTAATCAAAAAGACGCTAAGACCTTTCAAATCAAAACTTGATTGTTCCTATGCAAAATATATTAACATCCAGGCGCGTAGCTGCCTATACGCAAGTGCGTACACATCATTTTCAAAAAAAAAGGTGAAAAAAAAGATAAGGAAAAAAAAGAAGAGAGAATTATTCGGAGAAAAAAATTTCAGTACCATCCAACAAATATTCGTGTTTCAATTTATTCTGTGTCATACTGTGTCGATTTAAATTTTCAATTATCATGGCTGTATGATAAAATTTGAAATCTTTTATTTAATAACTGCCAAATCCAAATAAATCATTCATTATTTTGTCATTGTTCTTTCATACATTGATATTTTTTTTAAAGATCTTTGAAAAAATAAATTTCAGCCACATCGTTGAATGCTATAATCTACTAGTATGATTTACAATACGATATTTTTTTTGTTCATAATTAAAATTTTGTATACGTGTTTTTATACATTAAGAATGATTATATGATACCAATTAATATATCGGTTAAATTTTTAGTGTCAATTATATGTACAATAAGTTTCCACGGAATATTAATTTTCGTTAAAACAATAAAATTACTCTGTCTTTTATTTCCTAAACAAAAACTAAATGGTATAATTTTTATATTTAAAGAAAATGAATGAAATATTTGGTAAAAATCCGGAGCTTCTTGGCCCTCAATTTTCCTGGCTGGCAAAAACTATATTACGTGTCTGACCAGAGCCCTAAAACAACTGGGGGGGGGGGGGCTCAAGACCCCCAACCCCCTGCCATTCTCTGCGTACACATTAATTCTATTCTGGCTACGCGCCTGACATCCATAATAATGATTCGTTTTTTTGTTTAGAAACAACTGTTTTAAGTCGACCAAAACCTTAAAAGGTGATTTTTACTATTAGGTCTTTGTTCAGTCAAAATTTCATAATTCAATTTATGAGAATAAGTGGAATGCATATATTATAACATAGATGATAAAACATTATGGAAGAATATATACATTTCAAAAATTCTCAATATGTATGACAAAAAGATTGCAGAATTCAACTACAAGCTGCTTAATTGTCTGTTAAATACTATTGCAAGTGTAAGTAAATGGAATAAAGATGTATCACCAATGTGTGAGTTATGCAATGTATTAGAAGATAGTTAACATCTTATATTTTCCTGTGCAATTACAAATTTTTTTATGGCGAAAAACTTGTATATTTTTAAGATACATGTATAATGTTTCATGGAAACGTATTTTGTTGGGATTTTACGGTAAATTATCAGAAAAAACATGTATTTTGAATAATCTAATTTCATTTATTTGTTTTACAATATATTAATATAAAATGAAGACTCGATTCAATAATGAAAGAATGTCAGAAGATATTATTAAATTGAAATCTTATGTTAAAAATTGTCTCATTTTACAAAACTCTATTGTGAGAAAATGTGGCAAAATAGAAAATAACTTATATAGTGATGTAGCAATTTGTTTGTAAAAAAAAAAAGTCTTATGTTAATTATGGCGTAGCCAATTGTATATCCAACACATATAGAAACTAGTCCTCATGTGTGGTAGCTAGGGGTCCTCATTATGGACAGTGCTGGTGTTGAATAAAACCCCTTTAGCTACCCGGACTCAATATTTTTTTTCTCTATATATCATACATTGTATATCTTTTGCATCAATTTATACGTGTTTTAAAAAAAGTTTGCTGAAAAAAGCACACTGTTTTGATTATAGAAAATACTGTAAAAGATAGAATGTTTATAAGACAGGTATGATGCATATTTTTTTTCTTTGCAGAAGTAATATAATTCTGATATGTCATAAAAATATTATTGTAATGTATAATATAATCTATGCCCAATATGTTATATGTTGCATATGTTTTTAATAAAAATTTTAAAAAAAACTTTAAAAAAGCAAAACAAAACAAATTTAATCTGCACTGCCTGGGGATGCAAGATTTTAAATGATTTTTCCACGTTCTCTCCCATCCGATCCCAAGTTGTGGCTCCATCCTAACCTGGGGGTCATAATTTGAAACTAATCGAATCTTGCTTGCTTGCGACAATTAAAACTAAATTGCACGTGCACACTCTCATAAAAATAAAATGAAACAAGGCACTACTGTTTTTGAGAGGGGAAAACTTTCATTCCATATTGTGGTCCAACTGTGACCCAACTCTACCCACGGGTTCACGAACAAATTAGAATTTGCATTACACTGCCTGGAAATGTTTTTACATTAAAATCACTAATCAAACTGTTCATGAGAACCCTTTGCCGTTCTCGGCATTAAACATGGACAGCAATAATATATTTCTTGAATATTTTTTTTTTAACTCAACCAGACTCCTTTTTATTGTATTTTTTTTATAAGAGCACATAATTAAAATATTTCTTTTTAAAACATACAGGGAAAAAAATTTATAGAAGCTGAACTAAAATCATGAAAAGAACATAAGCATTCTTTTGGGAGAATGTTAGTTTATTGTAATATCATTCTCCTGTTATTATTATTCTGACTCAAAATACCGACGAATATCATACTGACGTCTAATGTAAACAAGAGGCCCAGGGGCCACATCGCTCACCTGAGCACTTTGGCTAGGAAAAAGCAGAAATCAGTAATGGAAAGTTAAAATATAAAAGAGGTTTGGAGATGGGAGAGGTATGTTTTGAACAAACTTGAATCTACACTTCCTAAGGATGCTTTTGAATTAATATGACACTAAATGACTATGCTGTTTTTAAGAAGGAAATTTTTATTGATATATCCTTTTTATTCCTTTGTATAGCTATGATACTCTGTTTTGCTGTTTTAGCAACTCTATTCTCCTGGGGGGGGGGGGGGGGGCATGATTTAAACAAATTTGAAATTGCATTAACTGAGGATGCTTTTATATTAATATGAATGATCATAGCTTTGCTGTTCTTGATAAGAATTGTTAAGATTTTTCCTATGTATTCCTATGTAAAACTTTGATCTCCCATTGTGGATCCACCCTACCCCCAGGGGTGAACAAACATTTGAACAAACTTGTATCTACATTACCTGAGGATGCTTCCCTATAAATATGAAAAATTATGGCTTTGCTGTTTTTGAGAAGATTTGTAAAGATTTTCCCTATGTATTCCTATGTAAAACTCTGATCAACTATAAAATAATTGTGGCCCCACCCTACCCCTGGGGGTCATGATTTGAACTTGATTCTGCACTGAACAATCATGGCTTTGCTGTTTTTGAGAAGATTTTAAAAGATTTAAAAGATTTTTTCCTATGTATTCCTATGTAAAACATTGGTCGCCCTTTGAGGCGTCACCCTACCCCTGGGGTTCATGATTTGAATAAATCTGAATCTACACTACCTGAGAATCCTTTCATATAAATATGACAATTATGGCTTTGCTTTTCTTGATAAGATTTTTCGTATGTATTCTGTAAAACTCTGATCAACTATTGTGGTCCAACCCTACCCCCTGGGGTCATGATTTGAACAAATTTGAATCTAAACACTACCTCACAATGATTCCACATAAATTTTATATTTTCAAGCACGGTGGTTCTTGAGAAGAAGATTTTTAAATGATGCCATTTATTTTTCATTAATTCATAATTATCTCCCCTTGGAAGAAAGCGTGGCCCTTCATTTGAACAAACTTGAATCCCCTTTACCCAAGGATACATTGAGGCAAGTTAGGTCGAAATTGGCCCAGTGGTTCTTGAGAATTTGAATCTTGAGAAGTTGAAAATGTGAAAAGTTTACAACGACAACGACGACAGACAACGGTCAAATTTCGGCTCAGGTGAGCTCAAAATAGTTCTGTGAGCTCAAAATAGTTCTGCCACTAACATGAAATTAAATTTGTTGAAAAATTATCAAAACAAGTGATGAATTTTTTTTAAAAAATGAAATAATTAATGATATCACGTAATATGAAAACATGAAAAAGTATTTTAAAAAAATAAACAAAAACAAACAAACCAAAAAAAAAAACGTATTACCGGTAGTACCTTAAATTGACCTATAGGAAGAAGATTTGGAAAATCGGAAAGTGCACTTTTTTCATCTGTCGCCATTAACGAGGGTCGGAATTGTCCACCATTGTTTACAAAGAGTTCCATAAGTCCTTCGCGTGTAAAAGAATTGCGCCGAATCCGGTCCTGTCTGCAAAGAACGTGAGAAAATTGCATGGGAAAAACAAACCCGATCCGATTGGAGGTTGCTTTTACTATGTTGGTATGTAAAGGAGGTATAGGATAAGGAGTCAGATAACGCCTGTCTCTATGTGGCGATTTGTGATCTAAAAAAAAGATATAATACAGATATAATTTGATTTTAAATGGCATATATATATATATATATAGAGAGAGAGAGAGAGAGAGAGAGTAAAATTTGTCTAATCCGGACTCTGAGTACTCCTGAATTTTGTCAATTCCGCCTATAAATTTTAGTCCCATGCACTTCTTTAACAAATGTATTATAAAAATTCTGTGTAGTCCGGATACTGTCTATTCTGTATTCCGAACGGTCAAATTAGTCCCAACTACTCATAATAAACATTAATTATTTTGTCAAATCCGGCTACGCAGAATTACCTGAGTCACTTCAATGCAATTAACACCTCTCATGGTAGATGTGCTAACGTGTGTTTACATAAGTGTCATTAGACGAACTGAAACGCGGCGGTGGCTCAATCCACTTAAAGAAATATTAAGTTAAGTTACAAGTAGATTTTTAAAAAAATGCTTACATGTTTAACTTGCTTTCAATTCCATATCACACTGTATTACATAAAATCGGTACACGATTTACAAATGAAAATTTAAATCGGGATCGAAACTCAAACGTGTCATTTCAAAATGGCGCAATAGCATTGAAGAGACTACGTAAATGTTTACATAAAAATTAAGATCTCAAATCAATAAGTATCAAATCGTAAATAATTGTGTTTATGGTTATTAAAATAAGTTCCGAATTGCAAAACCCGCACTAGATATACAAGTGTCTGTAGATTTTGACTCCGTTAACATTCCACGTCGAAAGTTTCAAACTTTGTGAACGAAAAAGAAAAATTGACAGTAATAAAGTCATGCGATTTACTTTTGAATAATTTTAGACTCCATAAATATCAAATGATTTTGTCATTTAATTGTATTTTCTTGTTAATAAAACAACGGATATAAATTTCAAATATATTCCTGCAATTTTCCTGCACTCCGGATTCTGTCTAATCCGGCCAAATTTTATGGAACCGTTGGTGTCCGGATTGGACAAATTATACTGTATATATATATGGCGGACATTTAAAGGTCACAGTTTATAAAACACACCCCAAAACAACACACGACTCATAATAGTCCAAATTAACGAGACCAGACTTATTACAAAGAGACTCTTTCTACTAGTAAAGAGAACTTTCTTGCATCGGATAGACTTATTCATTCAGCAAAAATGACGCCATTTAAAACATATTTTGTAACTAAATGAAATTTTACGAGTTCTCTTTTTTTTTTCTTTTGTAACTTATTATCTATTGGCCAGATTAATTTTTCAGGTTAAATGTGACACACGATAAACAAGAGGCCCATGGGCCACAACGCTCACCTGAGTCAATATGGATATTTCCTGTATATGTTCTATTGTAAAACTTTGATCCCCCATTATGGCCCCACCCTACTACTGGAGGATGCCTTGAACAAGCTTGATTCTACAATATTTGGGGATGATTCCATATCAATATGACTAATTGGGGCTTTGTTGTTCTTGAGAAGAAGATTTTTAAAGAATTTTCCTATATATTCCTATGTAAGAATTTGATCCCCCATTGTAGCCCCACCCTACCCCCAGGGGTCATGATTTGAACAACCTTGAATCTACACAACCTGAGGATGATTCCAAATCAATATGACTAATTGTGGCTTTGTTGTTCTTGAGAAGAAGATTTTTAAAGATTTTCCGTATATATTCCTATGTAAAAGTTTGATCCCCCATTGTGTCCCCACCCTACCCCTGAGGTAATGATTTGAACAAACTTGAATCTACACAACCTGAGGATGATTCCATATCAATATGAATAATTGTGACTCTGTTGTTCTTGAGAAGAAGATTTTTTTCTATATAAAACTTTGATTCCTCATTGTGGCCCCACCCTACCCCCAGGGGTCATGATTTGAACAAACTTGAATCTACACTACCTGAGGATGATTCCATATCAATATGACTAATTGGGGCTTTGTTGTTCTTGAGAAGAAGATTTTTAAAGAATTTTCCTATATATTCCTTTGTAAAAGTTCGATCCTCCACTGTGACCCCACCCTACCCCCAGGGGTCATGATTTGAACAAACTTGTATCTACACTATCAGAGGATGATTTCATGCCAAATTACTAATTGTGGCTTTGTTGTTCTTGAGAAGAAGATTTTTAAAGAATTTTCCTATATATTCCTATGTAAAAATTTGATCCCCCATTGTGGCCCCACCCTACCCCTGGGGGTCATGATCTTAATAAACTTGAATCTACACTACCTGAGGATGATTCCAAATCAGTATGACTAATTGTGGCTTTGTTGTTCTTGAGAAGAAGATTTTTAAAGATTTTCCCTATATATTCCTATGTAAAACTTTGATCCCCCATTGTGGCCCCACCCTACCCCCGGGGGTCATGATTTGAACAAACTTGAATCAACACTATGTAATGAAGGTTTCACATAAGTACAAACTTTTCTGGCTCAATGGTTCTTGAGAAGAAGATTTTTAAAAGATGACACCAAATTTTCACAAATTCTTAATTATCTCCCCTTGGAAGAGGGCGTGGCCCTTCATTTGAACAAACTTGAACCCCCTTTACCCAAGGATGCTTTGTGGCAAGTTTGGTTGAAATTGGCCCAGTGGTTCTGGAGAAGAAGTCGAAAATGTGAAAAGTTTACAGAAAGACGGACAGACAGACAGACAGACAGACAGACAGACTACAGACAAAATGTGATCAGAAAAGCTCACTTGAGCTTTCAGCTCAGGTGAGCTAAAAAAGATAATCACACATAAAAATTTGATGTTTTAAGACTGTCTATGAAGTACAACTTGTCATCTGAAAACAGAAAGCATTTAAGGAGTGTATTATCAATGGACTATCTTCATTGCATCATGTGATTAAAAATATCGGAAAAGGGGAGAACGTGAAGAAAGGAAAATGGCTGATAGATATATACAGATCAAAAGAAGCCTAGCTTTCAGCTCGGAAAAAGACATCTGACTGAGTGTAGATCGAGAGATAGGTTAGTTTTGTATGCCACAGGATCCTTTCCTTTGCTAAATTCCTTTTCCTTTTTTTAATATTTTGTCCCATACGATACAAAAAAAATAGGAAATACCAAATGCTTCAGGAATATCTCCCCCATTTTTCTTGCCCATCTTGCCCATTTTTTGACCATCATCAAATTCTTACCAACACAATATTTCAGCAAGAAATTACAGAATAATTATAATGAATCTTTATAATTTGTCTCTCTAGGTCTTAAATTACGTTTGTACAAAATATAAGGTATTTGTCTTATTTTAAATAGTTTATTATGTACAAGTCTAACTGGACATTAAATATGTTAGAAGTACTTTATGTATTATACATTGAAAAAAAAATTGTACACATGTAAAATCGCATGCGCCATGAAATCCGGCTTAAAGTTACCCTAGAATCCCCTGATGAGCTATTGCTTTGCAGACATTTACCATCAAGTTCTCTGCCTATCGGAACTATAAGTGCACAAAGGAGGAGAATATAACTTGAAAGCTGACAATGACTGTCATAAAAATGAAAATTTTGTCTTTGTATATGGTTTAATATCAAGATTTAGAAATCCTGATTTTGTGGAATCAATTTAATTTTATTAGTCCCCTACCGGTGAAACCGGAGGGGACTATAGGTTTCCTCTGAGTCTGTCCGTCCGTCTGTCTGTCTGTCCGTCTGTCCCTCTGTCTGTCTGTCAGTCTGTCCCACTTGGTTTTCCGCACTTTTTTCCTAAACGCTTGCAGATATTGAGATGATTTTTGGTATCTGAGTGTATCTTGAAGTTTGCATTTCGTTCGGCTTCATTGATTTTTGACGGAATTACAACCTTTTCAATTTTTAAGGGTTTTCTGCGATTTTTTTTCTAAACACTTGCAGATATTGAGCTGATTTTTTGGTGTGTGACTTAACCTTGATTACTTATAGATCAAGTTTGCATTTCGTTCCGCTTCAATGATTTTTAACGGAATTATGGCATTTTCAATTTTTAACGGGGACCAGATTACACTTGCCGGTAGGGGACTAGTATTGCTAATGCAATACTCTCAGAATGCTTGTTTATTTTATTTCATACGCCGAACTGAATCAAAAACAGAAAAATATGATGGTGTTAGCAATAATTTAAAGGATTTTTCCTGCTTCCTTCTGTAGTATGGCGAAATTGTAAAGCAAGATGTGGTGGAAATTGTCTCAAGAATACAACAATTTAGAGGATCCATAGGGTATAAAAGAAACTGATAGATAAAGGTTTGGTGCTCAAAAGCAAGAGAAATAGGATGATCAGTATCAACGAAATTATTAGTATAGTATTCAGTAACAACTCATAAAGTAAGTTCTAATCTGTCTCCCATTTATCACTTTCACCATGCAGACTATTAACAAAATGTTAGTGCATCAGTACTATTTTTACACCAATATTATTGCCTCTCTCATTGGCCTCTCTTGGTCTTTAAAAAAACATTTGATAATTTTTTTTCCTCGATTTTATTAATCTATTATTTACAAGTCTAACTGATCATTAAATCTATGAAAGTACTCTTTGCATTATACAGAAAAAAAAACTCTTGCATAATTTCTATTCTGTTAACGTTTCAAATACATCATTTACACTGATTAATTAACAAAGGTGAATGGCAAAGGTAAATAACTTCTCTCAGTAGAATACAAATTAATAGTGCCCTGGTCAGAACCAAAACACTTGACCAAATGGTCCAGATGTTTTAAAAATATGGTAAAACTACCCTTGCTTATTGAAACTTTTACTCTGTTTGCCTCTGATATGCCCAGGAGCAGAGACTGATTGATTTATATTGTTTAACGCCGAGTCGGCAATATTTCATCCATATTTTGGCGGAAGATTTTCAAAGAAATAATATATTTTTACTATATTTAACATAGCCCTACCCTAACATCAGAACTCATGACCCAGGGTCACGAATTTCCCAAATTTGGATGAGGTACAATCATCTTCATGCACTTAGTTGAAGATTTTTCAAAAGAATTAACACATTTTCGAATATTTCAATAGACTCCCGCCCCGAGAAAGACCAGAACCCCTAACCCTGGGACCACAAGTTTGAAAATATTTGTAAGAAGTACCCTCAGGCTTGCTCATCATTACTATGAACTGGACAGTAAGGAGCAGACAGAATTATCTAATAGAATTAATGCATTTTCACTATATTATTCATAGAGCCCCACCCTTACACCGGAAAATCTGACCCTCGGGCCATCAAACTAACAATTCTGGAAAAAGTCCCGTTGCTCATCATAACTATACACTTAGTTTCTTTGCTTTATCTGTTTACATGTGTCACCGTTCTGCCCATGCGCGAATCACGTGATCCAGGCGGTCACGTGGCATGCTCCATAGCGTTCTGTTCACAGAAGCTGAAAGAGTTTCCCCTGTCTTATATTTCTTACCATTCAAGTTGTTTTTTTTAATAACAAGAACAGTCCAGAGAAAAACATTTTCAAAATCGTACATTCTTAATATATGATAACATTGCTCATCTGCCCTTTTTTAGGGCGTTTGCACCCGTTAACCAATGTCAGGGAAAACCAGCATAAATGTAGAGTCCCACCCTAACAACCCAATCCCTGACCCATGGGTCGTAATATTTCACAGTTGTGGTAAAGGCACTCACATAATCATGCACTTAAGATCTATTCTCTTTAATATTAGTATTTTAAGCCACTTTGAATCTTTATTGAGTCTAAGAAAATCAAACAAACTATTCTCACAAAAACAATTCAACTTTTTGCTACTTGTGCTATAAAGACACTATGTAAAATATATGGAATACGGAAATTCAAGACTGACTTATATTCATCGTTAGGACCTTGTAACAAAGTTAGCATAAGAAAAAATGGGATTAATTGCTACTTTGGTGTGTAACAATGGAAAAAAGGTACCAGTGGTTTAAAGGGATTTTTTGCTGCATTAGAAATTTAGTTACCAATTAAGAAACATATTATTTGATTCACCTTGAATTGTAATTATCTGGTAGAACTAAAGTCGAATATCACATATTGATAAAGTTTGTTGTAGAAATTAACACTGTTACTATGGATACAAAGAAGGGAAAATGTTCAACTTTGTTAATTTATAGCAATATTAAACCCTATATGGTAGCTTTGTGCATCCAATTAGAAATTGTGTGGTATTCAAAATTGAAGGTCAGGTTAGCTGTTCATAAATATCAATCAGAAAAGTTTTGGGAATCTACATGGAAGGGTACGTACCTAAGAAAACAAAATATTTCTCAGCTTTTATACATATTTTTTGCTATAAATTCCATAGCAACTCTCTATTTAAAGACTTCAATTGATCACCAGTTATGTAAAAATGTGTTTTTTTAAAAAGATAGGATCAGATTAAAATACAGAGAGTAAATTTAAAATCCCTTTGCTATATTAAAACCATGACAGCCATAGCTAACCAATATTCAAAATTTCAGCCTATATTTGCTGTTATTTTTAAACCATTGCTACAAACGTAAATTATTGGACTCTGAACATGTTCTGATCAAAATTGCGATTTTACAAATTTTAGGGCATGTTGCCATAGTAACCATGCCTGATTTGAGTTTTTAAACAATCAAAGACTTTGAAATGAAAGCTTTCAAAATTCTATAATCTTTCAAAAATCGTAGAGAGTATTGAGAAGTTCTGAGACTATGCGTGCCACAGCTTCTATATAAAAATTCAACTGGTTACAGAGAATGTCTCTTAATATGTATGCTAAATACCAGTGGCAGAAAAGATTCTCAAAGAAATACATGTATTTAATGATTTTTTCACCTATAATCAATAAAGTCCCGTGTTAACACCTGGTCCTTTGACCCAGGGGCCGTGAAATTCACAATTATGGAACCCTCGCTAATCATAATCATGCACTTTACTAGTTTAAAACCCAATAGCAGAGAAAAGATAAGAAGATTTTTCAAAGAAATAATATATGTTACCTATATATGCCATAGAGAACTTCCCTAACACCAGAATGTTTAACCAAAGGGCCACAAAGGTTTTGGAAGACACCCATGTTCATCAAAACCATACACTTTGTTTGTATAATAACCAGGAGCAGAGAAGAAGAGTGTCAAAGAAATACTGCATTTTCAGTATATAATCAACAGGTATGGGGTAATTGAAAATGATTAATTGAAATTTACTGTGTTTAAATACATTTTTTCAAAGTAATTGAAATTATTTGTAATTGAACGTATTTAAATACTTTCCAAAAATGTCACGTATTGTTCAATTACATTTCAAATACTTTATTTTTCAAGATAAATATAATATAAAAAATGATGCATACCAGTACTGTTTGGTATGAGCTTGTGTTTATTCAATAATCAAATGCCTATAATGTTTATACACCCACGGGTGATCTCCTCTTCTACTTATACTCCGTGGGCAAACTTGCTGAAGTATCGTCGTATCTTAATTAATATGCGCGGGTCATTTGATTTGCTGCTGCACAGAATCACGTTGGCAAATAACGAATCACAGTTTACATTACGTATGTATGTTCAGCGATGACAACCGCTTTTCCCTAGTTAACACACCGACTGTAAACAAATCCACTCACCGTTGCATTAAGCAGCTTTTTAGCGGTTTGAGAAAGGTACTTCTATATTATTGCTGATTGATATTGATGCTAGTCTAGTGACATGTACAACTTGTCTTTTATAGTTTAAAAAAAATCGTATGTTTTAACGGCGTCACGGGGATATAGCATGCAGGTTGCACAACAATATTAAATTTTGCTATATATTCTTACCAAAAATTGCGCAACTTTGAGTAGGTGGTATTAATTGAAAACAAACTTTTGAGAAGTTTCCTTTTCAGATCTTGTAAAACAATTCTTTATAAAGATTTTAGTACCAAAAATACATAGGCATCCAGCACGGCACGCAAGTTTGTTTCGGTCGAAGTCGAGTAGGTGCTTGAATATCAAGTCCAGGACCTACTCACTCCCCACTCAAATACAGTATATAGAAAAATCAGCACGCCCTAAATTATAATGAATCTAGTCAATACAGGAAGTTTACATATTGTTTTTCATCTCATAAAAAAATTCAGCTCCAGTCTCGTGTTAAAATGCCCGAATCGGAAGGGAAGA